ACGCGCAACCGAGGCACTCAATCAGAAAGCCCCGAACACTCGTACCTGGCTATCTCTCGTCTCCTATTTTCATAATGCTGACCACTCATCTACACCAACTCTGGCGAGACGAAGTGAAGGGAGTCAAAACTTCTCCTCTCACTAGCATGGGTTAGCATCGTCCGTACTTTCTCTGGGGACCCGCTCTTCGCGCTCGATCGACCAAAGTTTCTACTACATTCTGCGGGAGAAATATGAACCAACATTCTCACCACTAAAATTGATTACATTTGCAGCCCCTTCTCTTTCTTCTCATGATACACAGTTAATCTCCACCACACCCAAATTGTTTATTTAAATACCCAACGTTATTACATCACGCCAAAAGTTCTTCCAGCTTGCAAAATGCAAACTGCAAGCTTTGTAAACACGGCGCCTGATTTTCGTCACTCCTCCGGCTCACTTTCCCAGCCGGATTTGATATTTTCAACATAACAAGCCAAAACCATCTTGACTTTATCAGAAACTCCTGCATGCCGAAGGTGATTAGTTACCTTCATTGATGAGTCTCCGATGTCTCCCAGGGTGGGGTGACTGCTGACCTTATGGGGTACACAGGCCAGGGTGGAGGGGTCTCCACGTCTAAGGCGGATGATCACAACCGGCCTTGATGGCTCAGGCTCTATCGTGTCCGGCGCTGGAGCTGACTCAGGTCGTAATTCCTGTGGGACAAGTCGACAGATGGGAGTTACGCAAAGTGGCATGGTGAGAACCCCCGAACCAGAAGTGCGATTATCCTAAATAGTACCGCGTAAAGCACCAATCCGTGCCGATATAAGAAAAGAGGGGAGAAGCTTCATCTGAGTAGGAGGGGGAAGACTATGTTGCATCGTAGCAGGACGCGTTGACCAAAGTCACACAAGGGAAAACTTTAATCTACTTTCTGTAGAAGTACAAGCCAGGACAATTTTGACACATATAAGGAGAGCCAGCAACTCTGCGTGGGCGCGGGGGGGGGGTCCGAGCTGAGGACCACATCATACGCTGACACAGTGTTTGTACTTGTGTGTCGCTGTCTGCAGGCAAGGATGGAAGGCGCACCTGCTTTTGCCTCTACATCAACTGCCCCAGACACGGGATGGTGGTATATGCATAAGCCATTTCTTAATCCTACTTAACATTACCAAGGCCACCTGAATGGCTCGCAGTTTGTGCCAAAGTCATGGGCAGCGGAAGGAGGCGGAGGATAGAGAGAAAAGGAAGTTAGGAGAGACAGAGGCTGTGAGCGGAGGAGCCACAGACTGAATGACTGGATGCGTATCACGGTGACTAGCAATATGATGGGACAAAAAGTGCACACGTCGCGATTCAAGGGAGTGTGCTAATAAGCGTGCAATGATGGATCTTGTCCTCTTTAGAAGCTTTTCGTATCCCATCCATCTCTAAGTATCCCACCTCCCCCTTCGAAATTGTCTTTGCTCAGTTGCACATGTACCTACACACACACACACACGACGGCAGGAGAAAGCAAAAAAATAAAGGCTCGGCACGAAGCTTCCATGTACAAAATAATCGTGAGAATAAACTATAAACCATGTGATGATGCACACGCAACAACCGAACCGCAGCGACAGCACCGCGGCCAGCTTCAACAAACCTTACTCCAATCTCACACTAATAACGTATCATCTCAAAATCTAAAACACAACCATTGATTCTATTCATGTGTCATTTGATTTCATGGGTGAAGCACCCTCCCCCGAGGCCTAGCCGGAGAAGAACAATGGCCCCGACAATTCGTGCGATAACGGCCATTACAATCATATGTTTGACCATTTCTGTCTGACTTCTGTCTGACCTTCGCTAGTCGCACACCGGAGGGTTGCTCAGCCGGTCCCCGTAAGAGGATTGCACACAAGACGTATTAATGGACGAACTCAGCCAAAAGGTCTATGACAGAGCAGCCCCCCCACCTTCCAGGGGCCTGGTGAAATGGCCGCCGCCTGGCCCTTATGTCGACCCACATTCAAACATGGGAGACTGACAACAATGCCAAGACCTTATACCACTATGATCATGTAGTAGTCATTGTGCTGAGCAGATTTAAAAAACTGACTGAGCTTACATGCATTTCACCTTTTTCCCATCAATAATAAGCTTATCTTTTATTCTGCAATCTGGGCCACCGCACAACACTAACAATAATTCACTAATCGGCGGCTGTTAAATTAAATAAAAAACGCATCCCACCTACAGTTTATACAGGAGTCATTTGGATAAACCCATCTGATCAGATGCATCATGTAGCCAGCTTATAACGCTTCACACCCGGGATTTTAACTGCTCGATGGATTAACTAAACCAATAATTATGACATATTAGCGGCGAAATTAGCTTATCTTATTGCAGACAAGGAGCTGAAATCTACTCTCATATTACCCATATCAATGGCAGTAATACCAATCTTACAAGTCAGTTTCCTTGTGTATGATACTCTTAAATCATATCTCAGGCCCAGGATTGCAAAAAAGCTCCTCCCCCAATACAACCATTTTCTTCTTGAGATAATTTTAGGAATGCAGATCTTTCTGCCCCCGCCTGTTAAACCTTTGTCCTTTTCTCTAGTGACACAAAACGGCTTTATACTATATTGCATAAACAGGTTCTGTTCGTATTTGTTCACTTGCCCGCATCGAGATTGAAAAAACCAAAACAGACATATTTTTCAGAGCATGCTGCGAAGCCACACTAGTCTCATGTGCATCAAATCAGTGCTGGGTCATTTGAAGAAGAAGACGCGCCCATCTATATTTTATGTATTCACCTGCACGCCGGTGCGCAACCACCCTGATTTGCCTTATATTTCTGCATTCTTTTCCCCATGTCCTGGGAGCGAAGCTGATCAGTCTGTCTTGCCTGTGATAGAACTGAAGTCGCTTTACAAAGCCAATACAAGGCCAGGGCAATGAAGCAGCAACTCATATCATACACTCTGAAAAGCGCCCCCAATCGGTGTGACACCTTCCAATTTCCTTTGCAAGCGGCCGAGATAGGGGAGAACCAGAGGTGGTGCCTAATAATAGACACATACGCTGGGAAAGTGGAGGGGCCCATTTTAACGTAACCCACTGATCCTGATACAAGTAGACAAGACATTTCCTCCCAGCGCCTGCCCCCTCTCTGCGCCCTCAAAATGGAGACGCCATGTGTTTCCCTCAAATAAATTGCCTGCCTCCGCCCCCACTCGTGTACCTTCTTGGGCATATTATATCATGCTAGTTTTCCTTTTCACTTCATGTTCTGCTCCACCAGTTTCAGCCATTCTGTCTGTGAAAAAAGATGTGCAGTACACAAGTGTGTGCGCTCCCTTCTGCCTAATCACCAGCTGATGTGGTAATGGCTTCCCAGTCATATTGTTACCCTTAGACAAAGCTTCATTATTCGTGCCCAGCAGATTGTCTAGTCTCGCAATGACTCAGCTATACCAATTACTAGTCCTCCGAGGCAATTTGGCCACTCGTGCTGGGTCAGACCGAGGTCCCCGGCTTATATCTGCTAATACCTAAGCACCGAGCACTTCATCCAGCAGCAAGAAAATAGGCCATTGGGTATATTAGCCGCTTTTTTTAATAATGATTCCGTTCTGTTAACCCAAGGGGTTCATTAGGACGATTGAGTTTGTTGTCGCTGTGTGTCCTGGATCAGTGCAGGGGGATCAAGAGATGGGACTTTATGATCGCCTTGTGGCACTGCATTTCTATTGTGTCTGTGTGAAGCTGGAACCAGTCTCCAGTTGGGGGAACATTTCCCAATATTTCCAGGAACGATTAGACCAGAATGTGTTTGTGTTATTGATCTGCACGATTCTTAATTGTCCCAGCTTCTTTTTTGAAGAAGAAGTACTATTTCAATTTTACATGAATAATTGTCCTATTCCTCATTGGTTACTCTTTGGGGTCCTTATACGTTGATCGTTGGTAATGCCTCCGGCGGTTCCGGTGGGCATGTAAACAAATGCATAATGCTGCGCTATACTTTGTAGCCTCACCCGGTTGCATAGCAACGCTTATTGTTTAGGTGTCTTTTAATAAGCAGGTAGTCATATCATTAGCTAGAACTAGCTGGATCTGATCGATATGGACATAAACGTGAGTAAAGTCTAATCTGACGGGAGAGAGAGATCAGCTGCTGCTGACGAGTCGACACGCAGCTCTGCATGATCACATGCAGCGGTGAGCGGAACAAAACACACACTTCAGGTTAGAATATCACACGTAGCTATTTTAATTACCTCTCAAACTACCGTAACTAGTTATAGATATGTTTAGTTTTACTGTCGGGTCACTCATTACTGATCCGTGAGCTGCATGATATTGACGGGCTGTCAGGAGAAGGAGAGAGCGCTCCGTTATTCCCGTGTTATTATAAATGACTGTACACTTTTGAATAAATTAGTTAATCTACTATAATTAGTTCGTTTAATATCGAATCATATCAATTTGTTTTAAAGCTCAATAAATAACAAAGAAGACCTTTGACCGGCACTTTTCTAATTTTGTCCGGAAGATTTAAACTTTAACGGACATTTTGACCGGCAAACAAAATATTCGAACGGGAACTCTGTGTGGCGCAGTGGACTAGTGCGTTGGTGTTCGGATCAGGGGAGTGCAGGTTCAAACCCCACTGCAGTCAGCATGTCGTTGTGTCCCTGGGCAAGACACTTCACCCCAAATTGCCCACAGTATTGAGCATGTAAGTCGCTTTGGATAAAAGTGTCTAACAAGTATTGTAATACTGTCAGTACACACTCGCCGTATGCACCTTTTTTCAAAACATTGCACAGCTCCATGCTACATACGGCTCTGTGGAATATTAGATAGTTCTATACCAGCACCAAATGCCTCTGCTAAAACAGAAACAATTATATTTTCTGATACCAATATTATTGGTTATTATTATATTCAAGAATTGTGAAAAATGTAACTATGAGATTCTAAAGGGGTATGTGACAGTCTGCTGTTAAAGTAAGCAAAACAAAACTTGTGTTAATGTACGCCTTCACTTATATCAAGAAGCAGATTGAGAAAAAGGGGAGTCTACGCTCACGATTCTTACCTGATCTTCCTCTCCTCCACCTTCCTCATCATACTTGAGAATGTTGTCTCTGACGTCGTCCTCGGGGTCGATGAGGAGCTGCTTGGCCTGACGCTCTTTATCGCGGCGCTTCATCCACACCACAAACATCAGCACGAGAACTGAAAGGCAGACAGGGAGAGGGATCTCATATTACAAAACATAATAATGTGCATGTTTTCAGACAAATGTAATCGGATCTGATGTTTTAGAGCTTGGATGGGAGCCTGATCAAGGCTATCTTTTTTGGTAATCCTACAGTAATCTAGCGGTATCTCGGATAATGTTTATCTGTCTTTATAATCCCTGTGTGTGTGATGTGCTGTTTGAGAGGGGCATTGAGACACTCACTGAGGAGGATGATGATGCAGAGGAGGATGGAGATGATGGCGCCGGTGCCCAGACCAGCAGCCATGATGTGTTGCTGGTCAGTGCAGTCTCCGTTGAAGTCGCACTGGCACACTTTAATCCGCAGATAGGAGGTGTTGGTCATGGGCAGGTTGCCTGAGTCTGTGATTAGGATGGGGATATCGTAGATACCGCTTTCAAGGAAGCCAATCTTCAGGCTCACCTGAGCATAGTCACCTGGGAGATGAAGGGGACAAAAGACAGCGTGAGTGGGTGGTCCATGATGGCCCCTTGTCAGAGTCAATACATCAGTGAGACAAGAGATTGAGTTACTCTGTGTATAAAACAATATAATAATATATGTTTTTACAGAGGAGTATTTCAAAGGAGATGAAATCAAAACTGTGAATTGTTTGTATAGACTGGGTTCACAGTACGATTACACTCCTGTCACTACAAATATGCAGCAGAATTTCCTACCTGGAAGTTGCATCGGCACATCTAATCCAAAACATGGTCGGGATTTAGATTTGGAGCTTATAAATCTACTGAATACCTTTTTGATAATGCTGCTTAGGCCAAATTCCCAGCTGCAATAATCCAAATGCCATTATCCTATTAAGATATATTCACTGCTTTATAACTCACACCATCTAATAACGTAATACGCAACAGATGGGTTCGTACAATTCATGATTCCCCCCCCCCCAATTAGCATAACCAATTAATGACTGCATAGTTATGTTAATACAATATTATTGTGTTTCCCCTGCTCTACCTGACCCCTCTGCTGTATGCTATGTTTACAAAATGTTATTGAGGAGAATCACATCTTTAATTACTAAACAACAGACTGCTGAATGATATATTGATATTGATCTTTTTTTTTCTATTCATCATTTAAGATTAATTAAAATAGCTGAAAGGGTCATCTGCTCATCTTTTAATATTCAGTAACACATGCAAAAAGCTGAATCAGCGCCACATTAAAATGACTAAGTATTCTGTGTCTTACCGCTGACTCTTGTGATGGTCCAGTTTCTCCTGACGTCCACGGGCCGGTGGGCTAACTCGAAGGCAAAGGGCCCGGCGTTGGGGTTCAGGTCTCCATCGAGGGCGGTGATGTTGATGGCATTTGGCTCCGGCTTCTCACATATCTCTGTCTCCTGGGGGAACACCACGGGAGCGTTGTCGTTGATATCCAGCAGGAAGATCTGGAGGGTACCTGTGCCACTTGCGGGAGGTATACCTGCACGGACCATAAAATGACACACGCTCACCCCATGCATATTTATGGGGGGGAAAGGGGATTTTCTTTTGCATTTACATATGTATGGGAATATATACTTTTGAAATGCAATCTCTCATTTTGCAGGTGCTTTGCAGTCATTATGCAATCGTAAAGTAAAGTATGGAGTTTTTCTTCTTGGATCTCATGCTATAATAAGACACTCTAAACAGCTATTTACTCTAGTGGGAGAAGACTCATCCAAACTGCATACTGATCTGAGAATCTTATCTCTTGTGAGGAGGTAGGCAGAAAGAGAGATATCAGAACATTTGGGTAGTGTGTGAGTGTGTGTGCCCGAAGAACGTCTTCCTGACGAAGCACACGGGATGAGAATACTAAAGCAGACAAACAGAGCCCACTGTCGCTCCTCTCAGGCTCCTCTATGTATTCACTCAGCTAAGAGGCTTTTTACCATTCAGGCCACGCTCAAAGGAGCTAGTCATCCAATCCTGACCCATTAATGCTGAGAAACCTCTTTATTGGTAGAGTTTTTAAGCCTATTGGCCTAAGCTATGCTCGGCTGAACAGGGTAAACCTGAACAGAGGTAAATCCCACCAGGGCAGGGAAGAGGTGAATACATCCACATGCTGCATGGTTCTGGGACTCTTAGCACATTAACCTTCAACTAAGGTAGTCTGCGTTTCAGACATGCCAAGCGCTTGGTACAAGGTTGACCTTCAAGCATTAAGGATGTCTTTGTGGCTTCAAATAGAGTTTTTAAACTGATGCTTTTTTGGACTGGCTTAAGGTGAAAAACATCCCAGTGGAAGTCAAAGTGATGCTGGGTGGAAGATTGACCTTTGAGAGGTAGGCTACATTAGACATCCGCTAGGCTTTCCATTGAAAAAGCAGCATTACCTCCTCCTGACTGCTCCAACAATAATGGCCGGGAATAGAGTGCTTGTGTAACAGTCTGGCTAAAACATCTAGACCATGTAACCGGTGCATCACTGGAGCTCAATAAGGTATTTTTGGAAAAATGCAGTACCATTGAAATGGTAACTCACCGCTGTCAGAGGCCAGGAATGTTGCATTGTACAAACTGTTCTTCACATAGGGCGACTCTCGGTCCAAAATGGCAATTGTTGTTATACGGCCGGTGTTAGGGTCAATCCTTAGCCAGTTGGCTGGATCTGCGAGTTTGGAGTATCTAAGGAAAGAAAACAGAGAGATTCACACACTGATGCTTCTGTGTTCACTGTAAGGTATTTTTTTTTAAGTAGTGACAAAGTTTAAAGGGGTTAATTTTGTTAAATAAAGTCTCCATTGTTTGGAGTCCTCCTTCTTCTAAAACGGATTTCTTTTTATTTGTTAACACAGAATAAATATTTCAGACATCATGCATTTTACATTAATATTCTAACTTTTGAGAACAGCCCCACAAGGAGACCAAATTGGTTATCAGTAGCTCAAACTAATTTGTAGGACAAACCGAGAAATTACAAAGTTAGCTCATTTTTTAGGCAGATAAACTCTATCAGGACCAAACAGCTGTGAGGCAAGGCGTTTGATGATGAACACGGAAGAAATAGGGCTTGTTTGACAAAAATGAGATGCCGGCTGCATATTGTTTCTTGAGCGGGGATGATGAAAGGATGTGGCCTCATCTTAATCTATCATTTCAATGCTGTTTCACAAACAGAGGACTATAGTCAGTGTTGAAACCACCATCATCTTCAATGCTGTTGGTGCCAATTATTTCTGCGTTACGGGTGATAAAACCCAGACATTCCAGGATATTAAGATGTGAACTGGCCTTGATTCATTTGAAAATACGTTCTAAACCACCTTCTGTTTCCTTTTTGACTTTAAAACTCTACCTGATGGTTTGCTGCATGAAGCGATCGGGGTCCTGTGCAGTGAAGGTGGACAGTGTTGACTCAGGCATCATTCCCTCTTCCAGTTTAATGAGTTTGGGGTTGGGCTCGAAGTAAGGACTCTCGTTGACATCTATCACTCTGATGGAGACAGTGGCGGTGGACTGGCGAGGAGAGTGGATGCCCCTGGCCAAGGGAACCTCATTCTTCGCTTCCACTGTCAGCACGTACGTCCTACTAGTTTCATAGTCAATGGGCTGGAACACAATAAGAGGGAGTATATGGAAATCACGACGAGGTAGAGGAATCACAAAGGATGAATTTAACAAAAGTCAGCGGCATAACATGTTTTGGTCATTTGAAATGAATAAGAGCTACACAAAGAACTAAAGCTAATTCTTCATCTGAGTGCTCACAATAGACAATGGGATGCGATCAAAGGAATGTATCCTTTTGTGGTGAGGTGAAGGATATGTCACTGCAAGAGAGTTGGCGGAAGAGTTGTGCAACCAACCATTTCTTTATTTTTAAATCATGTTTCAAGTTTTAATGAAGATATATTTCAAATTAGAAATGACATGAAATACAAAATGAGAATTGGCTAGCAGCAACATACTCATCATGGTCAGAAACATTTCTTTAACATGAGTGACAAAGACGGTGCAGTGAACTTTTCATTTGATTGTTCTTCTATCCTTGAAACAAGTGAACTGGAAAGTTTGATCGTTAACTCTTCGTAACCATGGGCAACATCATAAAAACAGCAAGATATTAATGGAATGACAACAACCGCCAAACCTCTCATTGCAATATACATTTAATATGCATCTCTAAGGGATAACAAGGGTGGAGTTTGAAGAGGAGGCCTTACCTTGACAACCGTTACCAGGCCCTCGTTAGTGGTCGGATCAGTGGGCACAGAAAACCTGCCAGTGGGGTCGCCCCCGGTGATTTTGTAGACGGCGTTCCAGGCCGGCGTGTTGGGCTGGTCCTTGTCAGTCACCGTCAGGTTGGCCACGATGACATTCACACGGTTTTCAGGCACCTCGCCGAAAAACTTCATGAATAAACCATAAACACACAGAGCAGCGAGCTGTTAGTGATACCGCTGAGGCAGCAGAAAATACTGCGAGCGCGGCCTCACACAGCACAGCCAGACCAATCTCGGGTAAATAGACATCTAAGGTAACTTATCATGTCATCATGGTCATCTCATTCCCTGTCCTCCCCTGATAGCACAACAGTAGCATTACAAATGTCAGTGATTCCCGGGCACAGTAAGTGCCTCTTTCACTCGGGCAGACATCCCAGTAGTTGCATGTGTCAACATTTTGGAGGGGAATGTAACACTCAACGCATGGGTTCCTACTTGTCTATCTGTATGGCTTCAGAAATGCTGGTCAAGCAGAACTAGGTAAGTGAGCAGAACGGCCGCTTGAGTGCTTATATGGGGTGAAATAGGGGGTCCGTGAGGTGCTCTCACTTCGCTAAGATTGCTGTGCTGATGTCTCAGGTATGAGTTTGTGTCTCACCGTCTCAGCAGTAAACTCTGGTGCATTGTCGTTAACGTCTGTGACTCTGATGACAGCGGTGGCTGTGTTGGAGAGGCCGTACATGGGGTTGCCCTCCATGTCAGTGGCCTGGATGATCAGCGTGTACTGAGGCACTTTCTAAAGGGAAAGGGGAGAGAAGCAAAAACAGGATTAAAAAAACATAATTCTCTGAACTTTTAACAATATAATACGTTTTGTAGAAATGTTTGGAGATTGTTGACATGGTTACTGTTTATAGAGTAGAGTGACCTGTTTGTTTTAATGAAAGCCAAAACAATACGCATGTAAACCTTATCCATCCTATCTTTAACTTTGTGGTTGTTTTTAGGAAAGTGCTTAGTGTTGGTGTTGCTTTAAGCATTATGTTAAAATGTGTTAATAATACTCATGCATGTTAATGAGGATACATTTATATATAAAAAAACAATTTATAATATAAGTGATACATACAGCGCTGCCTCCAAAATGGCCTTAACGTGAAATATACACAGCTAAATACACGTGAGTATTAATGTGTTCAACTCGAATAAAATACATCTGAACTGGCTTCCTTCTAATTTACGATGACAAATGGTGGCTTTTTATATAAATGGTATTTATTCTCTATGGAGTTTGCAAATGCACGATGTGTGAGCTTGCACCTCTGCTATGTACATCATCATGAAGCAAACAAATGGCTCTTTTCACATTAAAAGCCACTCAGGTGACGGACCAGTTGCTAGGTAATGAGAGTCGGGGAAATTACATTCAGGGTGGCAACTGGTGGACATAAAACAGCAGCCCCTGGGCGGGAGTGATTGAGCGGCCACCTAGCCAGATTGCTCTCGATAGAATTGCACCAACTGGCTCCAGCTTTCTATATTATTTGATTTTTTCTCTAACTCATATGCGATCCAATTAAATAAAAGGTTGGTAGCATTTACAGCATAGGAAGTAGAGGGGGGAAATAGAGAGGGGAAGGCAAGAATGAAGGGAAGCAAGCATTTAGCTGCTCAGTGATGCATGCTGCCCCCTTGTATGAGTAAATAACTGTGAAACAACCAAGTCCGTTTTTACTTCTCATTTAGTTGGTAATCGACAAAATTCCCTTTGGCTCATTAGTTCTCAGACAGTCGGAATATTAGCAAATATATTCTCAAGCTGTGTTTTGTCATTATATTTAAAAAGAAAAGTGTTCAGGCCATTTATGTAAACACGAAAACATTTACACTTCTATGTTTACCTGCAATAGGTGGAGGTGCAAGATGGAAATTATAATAGGTGGCCCTGCTAATGTCTCACTGAAATACTTATACAATCTTTTAATTATAAATCTACATTCAGTTCAAGAGTAAAAGAGCCAAAAGCTTATGAATGAGAATTGAAAGTGAGAAGGAATAAAGGAGAGAATAAAGATGTGTCAGGCACCTCTCTGTCCAGGCCTGCTGCCACCGTGATGATGCCTCCGGTTTTATTGTTGATGGTGAACATATTGGAGGTTGGACTCTCTGGATTCTGAGACAGGATCTTGTAGCGCAGCATCCCATTGGCTGTTTTGGGGTCGTCTTTGTCAACAGATGTCACTGTCATAACAAATGTTCCTGCAGGGCAAAATACAAATATTTTCATGTCATCTCTCTATTTATTGCTTTTTTATTGGCAATCAAAATATATTATAAGTTGAGTGGGAGGGCAATATTGAAGACAAGATGTATAGTCTTGTAAGACAGAAATCCAATGTTCCTTGTGTGATCTGTTAATACCCCCAGCCGCTTTAAAGCAGCGGAGGCAAAGTTAACAAAGTAGCCACCCTAGGAATGCCATCAATGCTGTTTGATCTGCTAACACCGCAGCAGCGTGTGAATCCAGAGGCTCAGACTGCAGCCAATCAGCTGCTCATACAGTGTGATGCTCGGCTCTATGTGGTATATTACCTGGCTTGGAACCCTCTGGAACGGAGCCGTTCCAGATCTGATGAGTGAACTCGGGTCTGTTGTCGTTCATGTCGATCACATTGATCACAATGTCAATAGGGTTTTCTACCTGGTTGCCGTTGAGGTCCACTGCATGAGCTCTCAGCTGAAGGAAACACAAACACATCTGGGCTGTGGAACTGTTCAAGCAACAATGATTTTCAACAGTGCAAACATTATATCGGGACAAACCACGAACTCTGCGCTCAATGTCACCAATGGAACTGCTTTGATAATGAACCCCACTAACCATCACTAAAAGCTGTTTACTTAATGCAGAAAAGCAAAGAGTAGAGAAAATCCTCTTTATTCAGACCAGTGTGAGAGAAAGTCTGTTTTTGTGAATAATAAATGATTCCCTCAACCAGCTCTGGCATGCCAAGGCAAAAGAGGAAGATATGATTAGATTCAGTCAGACGCCTGCCACAGAGTCGACAACAACACAAACATTTCATCTGCATGTTTGTGGTTGTCTCTTGAAACGGATACAATCTGATTTTATTCAGTAGTGTTGCCTACACTGGGTCATCACAGGTTTAGTTCTTTCTTATGAAAAACAACTGATGCGCTGCATTGTTTTGCACTTCAAGTGCATCTTTCATGCATACACACTGTGGTAAGTTGGTGCCTTACACAGGATTTCGAATCAGTGACACATTTACATATTGTGATCCTAACCATTCATTCTCTAGAATAAATACATATATTGAAAATCCACAGGCTATAAGCAGCATACTTTACATCATATGGCTTCACATGTAATGCCTAACAGCTTAGTATTTCGAATGTAAATGGCTCAATTAATTATAATGTACAGCTTCAAGTGCATACAGTGAAAGTAAGTCATAGTAGGAATTATGGGAAATTGGCCCACTCTCACATCAGAGACGACTTAAACAAAACGGACTTAAACAAAACGGATCTCCCGTATTGCTCGACAGTGAACAGTCCACAGCTTCAAATGAACCAATGTGTTACTTTGTGGATGTTGTTGTGATTCTCTATTATGACCTTCAAATACACGGAAGTAGACTATAGTACAGTCTATCATTATATTTTAACTACAGCCTGGTCTAAGGTCTACCAGTTATTGGTTAAGCACAGGCTATATCATTTAAAGGCCATTGCAATGTAATGGGAGAACCACTAATGAATAAAGCAGCTCTGAAGCCGGACCTTATCATAATGTATCTAACACACACACTCACTCACTCACTCATGCACATGCACATGCACACGCACACTCACTCACTCATGCACATGCACATGCACACGCACACGCACACGCACAACACACACACACACACACACACACACACACACACACACACACACACACACACACACACACACACACACACACTCCGGAGATTGGGTCGATGATGAAGACGCTGGTGGGTGGCTGGTCAGCGCCCGGGCCCGTCACACTGTATCTCAGCAACCGGTTTTTGTCGTTGTCTGACCGGATCTGCAAATGTAAAGATTCATTTATAAAAAGCTCTACCCATACTTAAAGTAGACCACATCTGATAACATCATATCAATTGATTTTCTTCTTTTTACATTGACACATAACAAATGGAAAGAAACAGGAAACAAGTGCGTTTAAAGAGTGTGTGTGTGTGTGTGTGTGTGTGTGTGTGTGTGTGTGTGTGTGTGTGTGTGTGTGTGTGTGTGTGTGTGTGTGTAGTACTGAACTTCTGTCTTTAATGGGCTGCCTATCCTATTTGCCATGTAAGCCGAGACCCTCTGTGCCTACACTGTGGATCCATTCTGATAACATGTTTTCCTCATCCTGATATTATCCAGTAAGCCCACAAACATCCCTTCTAATATGTCTGGATTTAATTTAATGCATACAAATAGCTTGTACAGGACTTGTTTAGTAAGTCAGCTCAATATGCTGAAAAAGGATCTGCTTCTAAGCTGTCCTGTATATGCTTGTCGTCTGCTAGCTATCAACACTGAGAAAAGATGCAAATGAACTTGGCTGTGAGTGTCCTTGAGCCGTGTTAAAAATAGGAGAATAATATCTCAACAAGGCAACCAAGGGACAATTGGGCTTGTGGGCACTTAAGATTTCTCTTTGCTTCTAAATAATGCTAGGTTACATTGACTCCCACTGCCCCCAGAAACAAAAGATAAATAATACAACAGAAAAGAGAGCCCTGACCTTTAGAAAAGTGCTGTAAATATGAAACATTTTGTTGAAGGCACAAGTCTCATGTCTGTGACCCTCTGAGTGGGAGCTTAGGGCTACAGGACCTACAAGGTTGTCATATCGAGCAAAAGGCATTTTCTTTTTAAAGTTGTGAGATTGGTGTGTGTACATGTGTGTGTGTATCTGTGCATGTGCTTGGGTGAGCTGCGTTACCCGGACAAGCTCTTGCGGGAAGGGGCCTCGTGAGTTCTCTGGGACATTGATTGGGGGGATGACCCAGTCTCTCTTCATGCGCTTCAGTTGGCTGTCCGTGTTTCGTAATGGAAACACTATTTCCTGCAAATCCTCTGACATGGCTGGAGGGGCAGCAACTTGTTGGACCTGTGAAAAGGAAATGATTAAGTTCAAGGGCTGGGTAGAAATCACATCTTTGTTAAAAAAAAAGAGTACATTTATTCTTAGCCACCCGATTGGCACTGCTACTATGTGGATGGATACGTTGTTTTGCCGGTCGGTCCAAAACAGACCACAACCTTTGGATGGACTGTCATGAAAGGTTGTACAGACATTCATGACCTCTATGTCGTCTAGCACCGACATAAGGTTTACATTTGTGGCTTTGCGGGCAAGAGATTGTTTAATGAATCAAATAGGTCTGGTCTGAAATCATCCTTTGTCTTATTATATTATGTTTACTCTAAATGACACATAAGCATTAAGCTTTAATCCACCGCAGCATCTGCAAACCCAGATAGTAAATCGTCACCTTACTGCACAGAATAGTATTGTAAGCTGACTAATGACCCTCACCTTTCCCTTATACTAAAGGAAATTGATGTGGCGATAAAAGGAAACAGGATACCATTTCCTGCGAAACTAATAAGCTCAACCAAATGTCATTTAATAAGTATTCAAAATGTGTGTTACTGTTTAATCAAACCATCCATTTTTATGACTTTCTTTGTAGCTTAAAATATCTCCAGTCCGAAATGTGATGATATTCCCTGAAATGCTTTGGTGTGGCGAGTGCAGCTGCCGCACAGCGCCAGCACTGGTTTGCGTTAAATGGCAAACCCCTTCTCATGTCCTGATAAAATGCACCCACACAGACAGACCAGCTTCCATAATGGATCTGCCATCCTCCCTCGGCTGTAATGAACGAGATTTGAAACAAAGGAGGATGGTACCTGCAAGCCAGACACTAAACACACAGATGGCTCAAATTGCCTATGCTGCTCCAGAGACTGGGGGAGACTGAAGTAGTGCCAGAGAAAGTTAAAATAACCTTGAACACAACGAAGTAGGAAGGAAAACAGAAAAACAATATGTAGAATCTGTCAATGTCAATGAATTATAGCTAGGATTTCAACAGAGCTGTCAGGTCCCTTGAAGTATCTTCCTTTCTGTTGCCTGTAATTATTTGAATGTGGATTGTTTTCCGGGTAGTCTCGTGTCCTAGAAAATAGTACAAAGTGCCGTGTGCAAACACGTAAATTAATTAACACTTTTTCACCTTATAGCGTGACCCATATGCCACACTTCCCCCCCCCCTTCTAACATCTGGAAGCTGTGGCAGAGCTTCCACTAATCATGTTTGAAATCCGATTATACTGCTTTCACACATTGGAAATGCAGAGAAGCAAGCGGACAGATAGCGGTGCAGCATGCTTCAGAAATATCTATTACCCTATTAAAATGGGCGCGAGTGAGAGCAGTAATTATTTGCAACCTGCGTCTGGAATGATGAATGGCATGGTGGGTTTGTTGAGCCCAACACGCATCTATCTCTGGTACGCTGGAGGTCCCGCGCCTATCTACACTCTCAGAACCCCCTCTATCTCCTGACTAGGAGTCTGGAGTCCTGGAGGGTGTTAGGCTGAGTGATGGCCTGTGTGTCTGTGGGAAGGATTAGGCACGTGTGTGCGTTTGCCCTTTTAGACAAAATTCTCCCTTTCAGAAACATTTTCTCCTCCGGAATGTGGAGCAGCTGAGGCTATAGTAGAGGTGGAGATTGTGACAGAGGACACTCGTGTTAATGAGGATATTGTTTGGTTGTCATTGATTAAAATGTTTCCCCTCGGCTGCCGCATTTATAGACTAATACAAAAATGTAATCGCTGATGTGATTAAGAGATGTGTGATGATTCATGACAATAATTGTGCTGGGGGGGAGATAGCCGCTGATGACCTCTTAAATGGGCGAGATACAGGAAAGTCAATCCCTGATTTCATTACGGACAAATCAGGGCGAACCCAACAGCTCTCCGCAGATACAGATCAGAGAACGGCTGCTGAAGATAAATTGATAATTTCTATGAACTCATACAGCCATTGGGGGGAGTCTTATAAAAGAACTGATTAGAATCTATATTTACCTGTTTGAGACAAGTATGTATTTGCCCAGACAACAGTGACTAATGGTACCATTGAAATCACATACCTGCAGGAGTCCCTATTGTAAAAGAGTGTCAGCAGCTAACGATGGTGTTTTGAGAAGCCATGAAATCTTTACATTCTTCATTTCCGTTCAGCAGACCCCCGTGCCCGCAGCACTTATAGTAACTACAAAGAACTGTCAGTATTAACTTCTAATCTGCGGCCACACAAAATCCACCCCCCTTCCCTGAGATTATCTCCCGTGCTGCTCATTTAGAAATGGCCACTTGTGACCATTTGCTTAAGTGTATTACAGGGATAAAACAAGACACACACATTGGTCTTTGTGAAGCTAACACGATTATTGCATTTGGGGTTGTTCATTAAGACGCCAGAAGGCTAATCATCTAATATCTAACGGCAATGATTATTAACATATGCCCATAAAGACTCACTTATAAACCCTAAGGGGTGGGTCAGGATACAAAGTAGCATACTAAAATAGCATGTGTGTGTCTGTGAAGTATTACTCCTGTAGGTTTACAGCGACAGATATGTTCTAATTGAGCAGGATCATATAATCCACTTACACTGAAGTTAAAACCCCTACAATAACACAGCCTTTGGAGCTTCTTTTCATTTCCTGGTTGCAAAGCAGACAGGAAGGACAGTGCTTGTTTTGTGCACTTCCTCTGAACCCCCGCCAACCACTATGTTGACATATGAGCACACGGTCATTCTAACAAATTGTAGATGAGTGCACAACACGTCCAGCGGAACGGTTAGACGGCACTCAGACAGATGCTTCCCGTCTTCCAAAGCATTGAAAGAGGTGCGTCCCCTTTTGGATGACAGGGCAATAACCTCACAATCACTGTGTATGCTCACTGAAATATACTTTATGAGGTGCCTTTTTGCATCTCTCGCTACCCACTGACCGTGTGGAGTATATGTTTGTGCCTCGTATTAAATTGACAAATTAAGTTTGAATTAGCACGCATCCATCCAGTGTCTCGGAACACCTGCTACAATTTAGGCAACTAGTCATCTGTGAATGTGCAGTGTGCTTAATAGCTGGAAGTTATTCGATGAAGGGGATCAGTCCACCTTTCTTCAGCACTAACATCAGTCAGACAATTAACAAACAAGGCAGAAGTATTAGGGAGGTGATGGTGAAGGTATATTCACCTGCTGGTCTGTAGACGGTGTCATCTTGACCTGGGTCACCCATTGCTGCTGAGTAGTGGTGTCACTGGCCTTGATCAGCAGCGGTGACGCAGGCAGCGTAGAGAGCTCAATGCTCCTGGCAGCATAAACTACTCCGTCAACTTCTATCCGGAAGTCCGATGGGTTACTGCATTCAAATCGCACCAGACCACCTCGGCCACAGTCGACAAACCTCACTGTAAGAGACGGAAGAAAATGGAGGATTAACAAACTGGCATAAGAGTGAGAGAGAAACCAATAAGGGAAAAGAAAAAGTGATAGAGACAAAGAGGGGGGCGGACAGACAGCCAGCCAGACACTGAGGGTCCACAAAGGTTTTCTGATTCTCCTTCTATCTCATACATTATTCACTTCAAGCTGTGCCCCAAAGGTATTGCTCAAAACAGGTGCAGTGGAGGAGAGAGTTAGCGGGAGAGAAAACTAAAGAAAAAAGGAGAGTGTGCCCCTTAAGGTCTATTAAATAAAGACCCCAAAACATTACATGTAAAGTCTGATGTGTTAATTACACTGTCTAAATGCCCCACTGCAATTGAGAATATATACACCGCATGTGTAAACCTGTATTTAGAATTCAGCTAGATGAGTCTTATTTTATTCGCAGCTAAGGCCATCCATTGCATGCTAGCTTTGTCCCTCGTGACATACAGGGATGCCTTCTGCGGATGACTACCGATCCTCAGCTCCTCGAGAGTGCTGTGCTGAAGTAACGGATGTTTATTTCATCAGCAGGTTCACACACAAAAAACACTGAAACTCACGCACGCATACAGACACTGCAGACAGGTGGCTCGTGGGGGTTTGAGTCCCACCGGTGGCAGTGGTACAACACCGGTTCATGTTACAAGTGAGTGACAGTACAGCACAGCCTAAGTAGCTCCTACAGTATATGTACACACAAACACCAGATACACACAGAAGACCCTTCATTGAGCTTCATTGTGTGATCCCTTTGTGTGGATATGTGTCCCTGCATGTCTATAGCACACCAAACAGCAAAAAAGGAACAGATACAAAATTCCTCCTGGCCACACAGATCAGAACGTTCCTATATATCATTTGTGTGGAGGCTCTGCTGGTGCCGCTTTGAATTATTAAAGGAGATGTGGAATTACTTAACAAAAGCCTTGAAGGAGGGTGCCTAATCTTCCTTTGTGCCGTTACCTTGGGGACCCACAGATGTCTCCAGAGTATCATCTGCATTCGGAGCGTATCAAGTTCCTCTGACTTCAAGAGGATGCAGTAGATCGGCACTGGGTCCAAAGGAAGTCCTTACTTTTGCCCCTAGGCATAATTGAATAGTCGACGCATGCACTCAATTGTCCTAAAGTGTACCACACCCTACTATTAATACATCTCTCGGGGATGACAGTAGTGAATTCAGCCATCTTCTTGGTGCTTGTAACAGCAGTCATGGTAGATGTTGTCAGATAGATACCCTTAGTCCCAGCTGTATCTGTTTTCTTAGTGAGAAACTAAATGCTGGCTGAAAGCTAAACGGCAGTGGGAAATGGAAACACAAATAGACAACCTATTACTGAAAAGGAAATGTGGCGAAATAAAAAAGTAGTGTCCAATACAAAGTATCATGTTTCTGAATGTGAGAACTAGAATGCATGTCAGAGAGAAGGAGAGAGAATGAATCAAAATAGGAAGTCGCACAAGGGAAGTTTGTCATGCAGTGTAGTCACAATGTATTCATCGTGTCATTATGAATGAAAATGCAATCTTGCTATACTTTATCAAAACCAAAACGGTGGAGAACAAGTCTTCTGCTTGAGGACCATGAGCTGCATTTTATAACAGCTGCTGCTAAAAGATTGAACACTGACAAAATGGGTAAACAACACTGCAAATGCACTTTTTTTACCAGAAGAGTTACAATTCATCTGAATATTTCTAAATGACACTCAAGGTGAAATTGAAATGTAAGGAGAGCTGGCGGCTCTAATAATAAAGATAGAAGATGACAAGATCTTTCTTCTTTCCTGGAATATACTTGATATTGACTCTCCTTCCTAGCAGCTTCTGTTCAATTACCCTTGACCAATTAGCTTTTTCTCTCTTGGAACCTGGCAAAGCTGACATCAGATAGATGACCTTCTCCTTCGAAGGTTTTTTGTTTGCCTTAAAGCCAGCCGCTGTAAACTCAAAGTCTTCAGGCAATCACCAGCCAGCCCAAGTCAGCAGATACTCAGACAGAGGGAGAATACAGAGTAAGGGACTGTCAAAATAACTCACAATGCAGCAGAAGACACTCCATACATTTTACAATTCCTCACTCCACTATTCTGACTGATGTGCCAATGCTATATAATGTTACTCGGCAAGTGTAAGTACAGCTGAAAGGAGTCTGATAAGTGAAAACTGGATTATTCCAGCTTCTCAAATATCAGCATTTTCTGATTTCAGTTGGTTTCTATCATGTTTATTTGAATACATTATATATTATATATATAGACAAAACAAAGAATTTAACAATATAAGATTTGACTCTTAATGATTGCAGGTTTATTTATTAATGAGAATAAAGATTATGGCTTATATAACCTGGTTGCCTGCGATTTAATTAGATGAATGCAGGTAAATCAGATTGTCCGCAGGTATGAGTCTGGGCAGCACTTGCTAATGAACAATTAACTTTAACGTTATTATATTCATGGGGAATAATATTTGTGTCATTTAATAGCAACAGGACACCAGTCATGTAACTATGGCTTGCCTGATCTTAAAAAGATAGTATATACTGCAGATGATCTCAAATGTGTTCTACTAGCTCACTATGTAACAGTACAACCGATACTAAAAGCGTTTCATTGTCTCTGTCTCTGAACATATTGGAACCAGAAAAGCTGCAGCCCATGTGCTTCCGTTTTCTGTCCACCCAGCACTTTTGACTATACATTTTTGTGTGCAGCAGTGCAGTCCACTTGACAGCAGCGTTCCCCTGTGAGTTATTTAAGCCCAGCCTCTTGTTGAGCTGAGCTCCTGCTCTTTAACATTGTCTGAAATGTGGCCATCAGGACACCTCTGAGAGGCCCTTCAACAGTCAGCCCCCATGGCAATCGCTGCACAAACTCCCAGCAGGCACGGCCAGTCCCAATGATAATGAATGAGAATGTCCAGCATGTGTCTATTCATTTATCAGACACCCTCTAGTGGCTTATAAACCACAGAAATGTGTAGCAAGGCCCCGGTTAGACCCTGGCTGCTGCAACTTAACTATATCTAGATATATTGGCTCCCCAAGGTTCAGGGCTAAATGAGAATTTGGCTGCCACGCCCTATCAGGCATGCCGTCATGGGCACAACGATAAAGGCTTTTGGTTGGACAGAAATGCCGATGCAGCAGAGGGGGACTCACAC